CTGTCTAAAATGCCCATCAAAATTCTCATAGACCAGGCCTGCATTGAGCTTCCGTCGGGACGGCGGGTTGAGTTTTTGAAGAGTCCTACTAAGATACGCACGGTTTGTGTGACGGTGCAGGCGCTGGCAACCCGGACTGTACGGGTGCCCCCGGGATCGCAAATGTTGGTACCCCTTCGGTTGAGAAAACCACTCGGGGTAGATGCGGGGGCACAGGGAGTTCTGTTGGGGCCGTCTAACAGAGCTAAAGCGGGCCTCGACTTAGCGGTGGCCCAGACCATGGTGAGGGGGGACAGTGAGCCGTTCGTTATGGTCCTGAATACGGGGTCGCGGCCGGCCGTGATTACGCAGGGAACGGTGCTGGCTCACGCCGCGCCGCTACCCGTCGAGGAACAGCTCGTTGCTCACGCCGATTCGAGTGCCGATACGCATCCTCAAAGTGAGGAGGGGACGGAGTGGTTGGACTTGTTGTGTGCCGGGTCCAGTAACTTGTCCAGTGTGCAGTTGGGTGCATTGAGGGGCTTGCTACTCGAGTTCGCTGACGTGTTTAGCAGGCACAAGTACGATATTGGCTGCACGGACCTGTTGCGCCACCACATAGCTACTGGGGACGCGGCCCCTATTCGACAGAATCCCTTCCGGCTCAGTCCAGCCGAGAAGGAGCATGTGCAGTCGGCGATTAATGACATGTTGGCGGCCGACATCATTGCGCCCTCTTCCAGTCCGTGGGGTGCTCCTATCGTCTTGGTTAAGAAACAGGATGGGTCCTTGCGGTTCTGTGTCGATTTCCGCCGCCTAAACAAAATCTCAATGGCCGATGCGTATCCGCTCCCCAGGATGGATGAGTCGCTGGATGCCTTGGCGGGAGCACAGTTTTTTTCGACGCTCGATTTGCTTTCGGGATTTTGGCAATTGCCCCTCGATGACGAATCGAAACCAAAAACCGCTTTCCGGACACCGGGAGGCCTATTTGAATTCAACCGATTGCCCATGGGTTTACATTCCGCTCCTGCCACGTTCCAGAGGCTCATGGAATTGGTTTTGTCAGGCCTCCAATGGGACACCTGTTTGATTTACCTCGATGATATCATCGTTTTCAGCCGGACTTTTGAGGAGCACCTCCAGCGACTAAGAGCGGTGTTCCTCAGGATGCGTTCCGCTAAGCTTAAATTTAAACCGGCTAAATGTTTTCTGCTTCGGGAATCGGTCAGGTATTTGGGCCATATCGTTAGCCGTTCAGGGATCTCGACGGACCCTGCTAAGACGCAATGCGTCAGCTCATGGCCAACGCCGACCTCTGTCACTGAAGTCCGCAGCTTCATAGGATTCGCCTCCTATTACCGTCGTTTTGTCAAGCAGTTTGCCACCATAGCCAGGCCCCTGCACGCTTTGACGGCTAAAGGGGTGCGGTTTCACTGGGGGCCGGAAGAGGAGGCCGCGTTCTGCTCCCTTCGTGACGCCTTGGTGCAGGCTCCCCCCTTGTGTTACCCCGATTTCACGCAACCGTTTGTGCTCGACACGGATGCCAGTAACACGGGTATCGGGGGAGTGCTCTCACAGGTGGTCGGGGGGGTCGAACGGGTGGTCGCCTACGGTAGCAGGGTTCTGTCCCCCGCGGAACAACGCTACTGCGTGACACGTCGTGAATTGCTGGCGATTGTGTTTTTTACACAGCAGTTCAGGCCGTATCTTTATGGCCGTCATTTTACGGTTCGCACGGACCATGCGGCTCTCCAATACGCTATGCGGGTGGCGCAGCCATCCGGCCAATTGTCCCGATGGTTGGAGGTCCTTCAGGACTACCAATTCACGACGATTTACCGCAAGGGTTTGCGCCACTCGAACGCGGATGCATTGTCGCGGTTGCCGCCGCGTACGGAATGCGCATGTCTGTTAGGATCGGCGCGGTGTAAACCCTCTGTCGCTGTCCCCGCGGAAGTTGTGCTCGCTGCCACGGATACTACGGGGGTCGACGCTCCCACGGGGAGGGACTCGCTGTTAGCGTTGCCTCTCATCGAGTGGGGCCGTCTGCAAATGGCCGACAGCTCCCTACTCACGCTACGTCGGAAGGTTGACGATCCCGAGGGAGGGGAAACGCGGGTCGGTTCCTGGGTGTGCAGACAGGGCCTCTTGATGAGGTGGGACAACATGTCCCGGCGTCACGTGCTCGTGGTGCCGTTTGCTATGCGGGGTAGGGTCGTCCTGGCTGCCCATGAACGACTCATGCATCTGGGGTTTCACAAAACGCTCGCCCTCATTCAGCGAGACTACTATTGGCCGGGGATGGGCAACGACGTGGCGAACATTCTTAAGGGATGTGTAGGGTGCGCCCAAAGAAAACCGCCACCAATAGCGGCTAATCCACCGCTGCAATCCATTCAGGTTTCGCGCACGAACGAGTTGGTCGCGCTAGACATCTTGGGGCCCTTTCCCGTTACGCCTCGGGGACATAAGTTTCTGCTGGTTGGCGTAGAGTACTTCACCCGCTGGCCCATGGCATGGCCACTCGCCAACCAGTCGGCTGCGGCAGTGGCGGACGCCTTTGTCCAAGGTTATGTTTTGGACAAAGGCGCCCCCGAACGCTTGCTGACGGATCAAGGAAGACATTTTTCGAGCGTTTTGTTGCGCGAGGTGTGCGACCTGTTGGGTACAAAGAAAGTACGTACCTCCCCGTACCACCCGCAGACTGATGGTATGGTTGAACGTCTGAACAGGACGATTACGTCTATGCTGTGCCAACAGGTATGCGACGACCAGGTGGATTGGGACTTACAGGTACCGGGGGTACTAGCGGCCTATCGATTGGCCCCTCATGCGGCGACGGGGTTTTCTCCATTTTTTCTGATGTATGGGCGGGAGGCCGATCCGGCCATGGACGTCCAACTGGGGATTTCCCAGCCACGTGCAAAATCTAAATTGGCAGACCATATCAAGTTTAATATCGCCAGATTGGCTGAAGCGCGAGAGGCTGCGAGATTGAATTCGCGGTCTCGGCAGATCGCGAACGAGCGATTGCATGGACGGAAGGTGCATACGCACGATTGGGAACCGGGCGATAAGGCCTGGCTGCATTGTCCACACGCACCGTTGGCTACGTCCCCCAAACTGTTGAGACCATGGAGGGGACCAGTGGAAATTGTGCGGGTTGCACGACCCCAGAGTATACAGATTAAATGGGGAAGACGCCGTTGGTACGTGCACCCCTCCCGACTGAAACCCTACGCGGCGCCGCGTGACCCCGTTTCGTGCCGTGACGACCGAGCGTGTGATGTGACCGTCGACTCGGGGAGGGATGTGTCGCAGGCTGATCCTCACGTGTCTCCACCTGACCCACCCCCAGGTGTCTCGGACCTGACGGCTGTTGACCGTCGGGAACCGGAACCCCGCGGCTCGCGCAGAGCCCCGATGCCTGGCCCATGCCCTCCTGAACTGCCGGCGTCACCGGATGGCCAACCGCGTCTGGTGCCGTACGACGGACCGGCAAGGCGGACTCGGGCTAGGACGCAACACTTTTCATGAAAAAAAAAAAAATTCTTTTTTTGGTTAAAACCCGACCTCGCCGCCGTGTTCCCCCTCTGCCGGGGTAATGTCCCGTTCAAGGGACGCTCGGACAGATTGGGACGCTGCACGAGTCAGTGAAGAAAAGAAGAGAAATATAATAAAGAAATTTTTTTATTACTCTTTCTGCATACACATTATCGTTGACACTCGCCGGATTGTTCATATCGTTCTTGCTGTGGGTGTGGCGGTTGCTGGTTTTTGCAGATTGCGGTGTTCATGTTGTGTTGTTATGGTTTTGTTGTTATGTTACGGGGCACACATAGGGGGGAGGGGGTGTTGTATATTTTGTTAGCAGCCGGGTCGGCTGCGAGCTATGTGGTAGGGGGTGATGTAGTGGTGGTGTTGACGTGCGCCGACAGTGATGGATCACGGGGCGCGGGGTTGGGCACGCGATGTGGGCGTGGTATGAACGCGCGCGCCGGTGGTGAGGCGCGCTGACACAAGCTGGGAAAAGAGGATCGTAGCCAGCGCGCAGTGATTGGTCAAATAAGATGGGTGCTCTCAGCGACGTCCGCAGGAGGTGCATAAAGGGAGACGCGCGAGAGCACTCGGGGTCAGTGTTAACCAGTTGAAGACCGAAGACGGAGTGGAGGAGGTAGTGGCCCGAGACCCCTAGTCCCGCCGTCCTTGTCAGGACCGGGGCCCTGTGTGGCTCGGAGCCGAGACTGGGGAACCCGTAGTCCGACGCCCGCGTGGGTCGGGACGGTGGTACCCAGAGCCGAGACGGACACCCCAGCCGGGTGTGTTCCGGAAGGCTACGGGGCGTAAGAGCCCGTGTCAGTATAGCTGAGTGGGTGTTAGTCACCCGAGTAGCTAAGTGGGTGTTAGTCACCCGTGTAGCTGAGTGGGTGTTAGTCACCCGAGTAGCTGAGTGGGTGTTAGTCACCCGAGTAGCTAAGTGGGTGTTAGTCACCCGTGTAGCTGAGTGGGTGTTAGTCACCCGAGTAACTAAGTGAGTGTTAGTCACCCGTGTAACAGTTTGGTGTTAAATAAAAGAGTGTGCTACCCGTGAAGTCGTCTCCCGCCGAGTTACTACTTTACACATGCACAGATATTCAAAGACCCACACACAAGACATTCACAAAGCAAAAGATGCTCCGTGCAACCATACAGGCTGTTGGACCAAGTGCGGTTAAGCGAGTGCCTCCGAGGGCTGGAACGGCGCACGAGGGGGTGGTTTGGCCAGCACCAAACAGACACCATGCGCGCACACACAGAAGTTATCCTATTTGTTAAGGTAAGCATGTCGGGTACACGCATGACATTCAATGCTTCGAAACCAGGGTTGGTGGATCAGAGACCATGAATACAAATTCTAATGCACTCACATTCCAAATCACCACACACACATTTAAGCACTCTTACAAAACCAACTCATCATTCACCATCAAGAAACCCATACAACTCGTATGTACACAAACACGCACACGCTTTCATGGTCCTCACTCCTTCTATGTTGTTTTCATTTTTTATTACATTTTTTCCACACGGTACCCACACCACACGTGAACCCTGGCCACATCCAGCCTGAAGACACGCGGGGTCGCACTCGAGCAAGCAAGCCAGCGAGCCAGTGAGCCAGCGAGCGTCCCAACTGACGACGCAGCCAGCGAGCCAGACGTCCACGACGCTCCGCACCACGCCAACCTCACCGACCCCGTGCGGCTCTCTCTGTACTCTCCACATGCGGCCGTCCTAGTGCTCAAACTCGAAGTCGAAGTACTGCGAGTCGAAGTAGTGGATGCGTACGTAGCCGTCCTCTCCACCGCTGCTGTAGCTGCGGGGGCACAGGGAGAGCGGGCGGCAGGAGTTGGCAAAGGGAGAGATGCACGTACGCCGCTCGCACGGCAATCCGTTTATACATCGACATCTAAAACTAAACTGTTTTTCCTTCACCAGATAAGGCTCACCCAGAGCTATACAGCTCTTTTTCAGAAGCGACCTGGCCACAAATGATAGTTGAACGAAGTGGCTTATTACGTGGAAATGTGTCGCGGCCAAATACTCTAAACGCACGTTGCTCCTAAATGTGGAGAGAAAAACCGGAGGACAGAGGAAAAATCCGCGAGAACACGCAAACTCAAAATATACAGGTGTCAGGATCGAGATCGAGCCCGCGACCTCCTGCATACCAGGCGAGGGAGTTAACATCATTATCATCATCATCATAGCCATCACCGGTCACGATCAATACACTGCTGGATGAAGACCTCCCCAAGCCATGGCCGCCTCTTGCAATCATGCGACTTGGCACCTGCACACGAGCGGATTCCATTGCTCAGACTCGTTGGTTGGAATCCTCTTGGACGCGTTCCATCCGCTGGCTGCTACATACTCATTAGTCTTGGCCAAATGTTCCCCAAAAAAACACCCAATTAACACCATTTCCCACTGCGCGTGAGCTTCAGCACTGGCAAGGCAAAGGCAGCGTGCGTGGTTCTGCCCACAGCAGCCCTTCGTGCACCCAGCCTCAATAGGTGCTCGCCGACAGCACCTGCGGTACGTTTATCTCACACGGACCCCTTGGGAGAGAGAGGCACACACAGATTGAGGGCTCTGGACCTCGAACCCAGGACAATTAGCAGCTAGTGGTGGGTGGCTCAGGAGTCTCTCGATGAACCCTCAATCCCGGCTCACCTCTTCCCGTCGGGGTGGAACGCCACGCTGTTGATGGGCCCGAAGTGGCCCTTGACACGGCCAAACTCTTCCTCGAACACCAGGTGGAAGAACCTGCACGCAGGGTGAATGAAACATATGAAATGACATAGTAATCCTTGATATAATAATAATAATGGGCAGGTGCGTTTGAGAGTGTAGAACCATTCCTGCAGAAAGCACCTTGCAATGAGGCCTACACATTATCGCTATCGTCAGCCACGATCAATCCCACTGCTTGGGTGAAAGGCCTCTCTATGCATCGTATCACTCGTGGTTTGACCATACTTCACCGCGCTGGTGAACGCCGACTGGCCCACGACCGGCCAAGAATCGAACTCGGCTCACCTGCTTCACAGCGTCGGCCGCTGACAAGGGCGCCACCGCTCGGTCGCTTGTGTTGTGAGCACTCGGCTCAATTATAAGCAAAACTATTTCGGCATTAATATAAGGGAAACGTTGTTTTTGTTTTGCATTCAAACAGTCGAAGTGCTGATTGCAAATAATAACACAAAGAATGGCTGATCCCCCCCGCCAACCACCGCCTCGTCTCCCCCGACCCCCCCTCCCACCTCAGCCAGCCCCGCCCCTACCTCCTCCTGCTTGCCCCGGCTCCAATGCGGGCTAATGTTGCGCGTCTAAGAGGGAGCGATCGGGACTCATTCACTCGCTCCATCGGCACTCTGCCCATTACCGCCACTCTGCACGAGCACGTGCGGCTGTACGGCTCATTGGGTAATGGTGTGCATTAATTAGGAGCGTGTGTGCATGTGCGCACGTGTCTGTGTTGATGAGCATGTGTAAGTGAATATCTGTACATGCGAGTGCGGCAGTCTCTGTGTTGACGTACACGTGCAGGTGTGTATGCCCGTGTGGGGGTGTGTCTGCAGGCTCACAACAATGAGCGGAGCTCCGGGCGGCTGACACACAGCGAGTTAGCAAAGTGTGCAGCACAGGGGTGGCCTCTGCCAGCCATCACATTCAGTGAACCCATAAACACCTGGACCTGTTCCGTGACATCCTACACACTTTGCACAGCAACAAAGTGCACATAGCCTGGCACAAGCGCCATTGGTGATGTTACCGTCACATGGTGCAGTTGTTGTATACGCATATGTGTGTGTCTGTATCTGAATGTGTGCGTGTGTATGGAGAGTGGTAGTCTAGCGGTTAGTACACTTCACAATGAACCTGGCAACTAGAGTTTGATTCCCATTCACGGACAAAACCAGTGACAATTATCCGAACCACTCCTGGGCCTTCCCGAGGTTGACTCGTCCTAAAATAAGTATCCGGTGTGGTGTATAAACATCACAACTGGGGAGACAAAGGCAGTCGCGTGTGGCGCTGGCCACGCACCCCCTCGTGTGCCGTGCCGGCCTTCATAGGTGCCCGCTAACAGCACTTGCCTCAAAAGTATGGTAAGGCTATACGGGGGATCTTTACCTTTGTCTTGTGTATACATGCGTGCTGGAAAAGTGCATGTATGTACGTATGTTGAACTTATTTCGCACCGTTATGTAGCCAACCGTACTACTAATCGGAGGTGCGCGGGAATCGGAGGTACGGGGGAAGCCCCACTGACCTGGCCTCGAACTTGCCGATCCTGGTGGACGTGGTGGTGACGTCCATGGCCTCCTGTCCACCTCCCAGCACCACCTGTGAAGGGGGCGAGAGTGGATGCCGGGCGTGAGCGGCCGCACACCTCGCGGCTGAAGATACCGAGCTCAGGGAAACCAGAGGAGTGAGGCCGGGAGAGACACTGAGCCGGCAATTCAGAATAGCTGGGTTTGGATCAGAGTTCTCAAGCGTAGCAAGCTAACTAAACTATTTTTTCCATTTCACTAGGTAAGGCCCTCTGAGCAATGGTAGCTCTTTTGGGGCCATCCATTTAGCACGTACGCATGGAGGGAGGTTAACCCAAATGCGTACGCTTGCGTACGGGGGGGGGGGGGGGGGTCTACTGACAATGTACGTAGGCATAGGAAACGGGGGGGGGGGGGGGGTGAAGCCTCGATAATAATTTGTTCTAAATTGGCCTTCAAATTAGTTAGATAGTCCGGCAGTGGACTATCTGTTTGCTTAAACACGTTAATATTATTAATCCTTGATCGTTTATGCGTGGATTAAATATCGGCCGTTCTATAGGATTCGGGGGGGTGCGTCAGGCTGTACGTACGCAGGTGGGAGGGGGGTGTAAAAAGTACGCGTGCGTACAGGGAAGGGGGGAGGGGTCAAGTTATGACAGATTTTTGCGTACCTACTCAAAGGATGGCCGCTTTTCAATTGCAACCTGGCCACAAATGATCGCTCGACAAAGTGGCTTATGTAGGAAATGTTATATTGCAGCCAAATACTCTAAATGCCTGTTTCTAAATATGGAGGGAAAGACGAGAGGACCCGGAGACAATGCCGATGGGTCTCAGTCACCAATGATTGTACAAAATACCCCATCACATTCAATTGTGTTTTGGCAAAAATTCTGAAAATAATAATAATTTATTTACTGTGGAAGGGAACGTGAAAAAGAATGTCCCCTGGGGTGTGAATATAAAATCACTAAGTGCCAACCCAAGCTGCTGATACCATCACTTCACACTATTTAATTGTTTTTGGAATCAGTTTTTAAGGTTTACAAGCGAACATAATCGTAAAAATGTATCCACCTGTGCATGGTCATCCGATTTCACATTCCAATAAAGTGCTTGCACAAAGGATAGTAACATCTCATGCTGTGTTCTTTGGAATCAAAAGGATTGGAAAAGTCTCTGCCATTAGTAATGGCATTAGAGTTACACATTAAGTATTAACCATTGCTATCCAACACCGAACCGCTTAATCACGTGTCTGCACAGCTGTATGTGAGATAGACCACAGAAAATATTACGGGCCGCAGGCCATTGAAGTCTCGACTCAGTGGGTCATCCACGTAGTCTGCAGAATTGGTTTAGGCAGTGTCGGCTCTCTCCAGTGAACACCCGACGGCACGACTGGGATTTAATTTGTAAAACAACGAAAAAAATCGGGCAAACGTTTGAACGCGGAACACGAACAGACGTTGCTCTCCAACAAAGCACCAACTCCCGACGCGACACGCTCGCCGGGCCCATTCCCCAACAGCGGAACGCTCTCCTCCGACAGTGACAGGATTAACATCTGCGGCGACAACGCTGCTGCGCAGGGGTCATCAATTACAAAGCGAAAGAGGGAAACATTTGTGGGGCGGAGAAGGAAACAACCTCTTCTCTTCGCCGCTGCCTAAGTCTCCACCCACCCATTCACCACTGCCGCCACTCCGCTGCCGCCCCCCCCCCCGCCTCCTTCACCCCACACCCCCGGGCTGGACTCACACAGGGCGACACTGGGCGACACTCCATGCTCATTTGCCCGTGACAGTCGTGCATAATTAAGGCACAAAAATCTCGCTCTCCCGGCAAAGGCGATGGCAATTATTGCGATAATGCACGCGCGTGCACACGTCCATGCGCGCGCACGCACGCGCGCACGCACGCGTGCACGCACGCGTGCTCCCGGATCGACGCTCGTTAATCATGGTGGGTGATTGCGGGGGTGGAAGGGCTGAGGGGTAGTGGCTCCCCCCCACCCGATAACGCCAATGCAACCGCGCGTGAAATAGAGTAATACATCCTCCAGGACGTACACACGGACACACGCATACACGCGCGCCCGTGAGCCTCTCTTCCAGTGGATGAGATCCCCAGTATCGAGCGTCGATTCCCTGGGGAGGTTAAAGCCTGTGTAACCAGGGCATTACAGTACAAAAATAATGATGCTGATGACACGGCGATTATAACGAGCGGTGGCACTGCAGGATAGCGTTGAAGAGCTTAACAAAGGAGGCTGAAGAGTCAGGGTACAGATAAATATGCGCAGCGTCGTAGCCGTGTCCAGTACATGTACCGAACAAAAGGCGATAACTGTTCCAGCGTTCGAGCGACGCAAATGACAAACACAACTGTTTGTTAATCCAGGCCAATTATTGAAGACGGACCGATGCAAGAATTTGTGATTTTACCATCTCATTGTTTCTCATTTGTCGTCTCGTGAACACAGATTTGTGAGCTCCATTAGCCCCGAGTGTTCTCCGATACAGAATGTTCTGCTCACTCGATACGGATCCCTCATTTTAATCAGGCAAAGAACCCTAGTCTCATCCGATACAGAACCCTCTTTCTCATACGATACAGAACCCTGTTCTCATCCAATACGAAGCCCTCATGCCATTTGATACAGAACCCTCAGCTCATCCTATACAGAGCCCTCATCTCATCCCATACAGAAACCTCGTCTCGTCCGACACAGAACCCTTATCTCATCTAATACAGAACCCCCGCCTCACCCAATAGGCTGTGCGAGACGAGGGTCGCCACGACATTAAAACCCCACCACCACAGCCATCACGATCGCCGTCCCAATCACCACCACAGCCATCACGATCGCCGTCCCAATCACCACCACGATCGCCGTCCCAATCACCACCACAGCCATCACGATCGCCGTCCCAATCACCACCACAGCCAGCACGATCGCCGTCCCAATCACCACCACGATCGCCGTCCCAATCACCACCACAGCCATCACGATCGCCGTCCCAATCACCACCACAGCCATCACGATCGCCGTCCCATTCACCACCACGATCGCCGTCCCAATCACCACCACAGCCATCACGATCGCCGTCCCAATCACCACCACAGCCAGCACGATCGCCGTCCCAATCACCACCACAGCCATCACGATCGCCGTCCCAATCACCACCACGATCGCCGTCCCAATCACCACCACAGTCATCACGAATGGATCCTCGCTGTCCTCTCCGTGACCCGTAACACCCCCACGTGGGGCAGCAGCACCAACACCAGCGGAGGCAGGGGGGGGCGGGGTTGAGGTCCCCCCCCCCCTTCCCCCCTGCCTCCCCCAACGTTACTGCGTTTGCATCACAGCCGCTAGGAGCCCCCCCTTACGTAACCTGGATTTACGAGCCACGCTCGCGCACCCCACTCGCCCCACCACCTGCCGCCAACCCCACCTTAACCCGCCCGCTCGCCCAGCTTTAGGCATGCAGACTCACGGCGACAAAGTGCACATAGCCTGACAAGCGCCGGTGGTGATGTCACCGTCACATAGCACAGTTGTTGTATACGCCTGTGTGTGTGTCTGTATCTGCGGGTGTGCGTTCGTACACAGAGCGTTAGTGTAGCGGTTAGCGCACTCCTCTACAAACCCGGCGATCCGAGTTCGACACCGGTGACGATTATCTGAACCGGTCCCGAGCCTCCCCTAGGTCAACTCGTCCTGAAAGGAGTTGCTGGCATGGTGAGTAAACATCACCACCGGGGAGATAAAGGCTGATCCCCAATAAAACCTTGACAGCACTTGCCCCAATAGCCGGTACGCAAGGACAATATTAATCTAAAGTTACAGCCCCATGTCAATCCACTGATGGATGAAACCTTGGCTGAATGTTCGGGTCTGGGGTAGTTTTATGGACTGGGTTGGCTTGAGTGGCTAGGGCTACTGCTCGGTAGGCCAAATAGTGAGAGCAAGGGGCAGGGCGAGTGTCCATGCGGTTACAGTTTAATGGTAGGGGTAATATTCGTTTGATGAATATGGATGGGGGGGAGGGGCGGCTAAGGGTAGGGGCTAGGGATATGGTCAGGTCAGCTCGTGTGGTTAGGGGCATAGATACTTATCTCTGGTTGGCTATAGCAGTCGATCTTTGTAGTGCCACGGATTGGCTGGCTAGAGACTGTGCTCCGTCCCCTCGTCCCTCATCGCCATGCACAGCTCTATTCACTTCCTATTCACTTTCCGTTCTCTGCTCACCTACATCATTGAGGACCGCCCTCCGGCTGGACGAAATCGGGGAGCGGGGAGAGTGATACGGGGGTACAATTTTACAAGGAGCCCAAGATCAGGGGGCTGCCCCCCCCCCCCCGCGCCAACATTTCTCATGATAGGCCCGATGGTCCATTATGTAACGGCGGCCCAAAGTTTGACTCGAAAGGCCTGATGGCCCCACTCACGTGATCGTGTGTGGGCGAGATGGCGGCCGAGTTGATGGGCCGGTCCGTCTTGTAAGTCTTGAGAAGCTCCAGGGAGTCGGCGTCGTACAGCTGCAGCAGAGAGGGCGCATGACCATGCACGATCAGAGGGGGGGCGACGCGGTCCTGCCTGGGAGTGAATATATTACACCCCCCCCCCCCGGCCCCTTCATGTCCCGCTGCCCCCACTTGCACGCCAGCGTTACTAATGTGCACACTTGCACACACGTGCGTTTATTTGTGTTGAATTCATGCGCCTGTAACAACAAACTATTCAGTACAGCAGTCGTGTAATAACAGACAAAAAAATTAATCTATATTTTCGCTGACCATGCATGCATCAAGTTGCGCGTCTGAGCACTGATAGATTGTACGCGTTTACATCCTTTTACAAAAACATTCGAAAGAACAAACAAGGCAGAACAAGGGCCTTTTGAGAGAACTTCAGATGTAGTTCTGTGGAAAAATCGAGCGGGGCCGTTCACTGACTTAGGGCAGTGCACTGCTCACCGCGATAGCTCCAAAGACGTTAATCGCTTGTAGCAGGATGGCAACGCAATGGGCGTGAATGCGACTGGAATATAACTGCAGGTAAACAAATACAAACACCCTAACGAGGTTAATTTTTTTATGACGGTTTCAGCTCTGAGTGTGTGTGCGCGCGCGCGTGGCTCGCGTACCTTGGCGGTGGTGTCTTTGGAGGCCGAGATGACCATGGTGAGATCCAGCGAGGTCTGGATGTCGTGGATCTGCTTCGTGTGCTCCTTGGTGCGTGACAGCACCTCCCCGGTCTGCAGTCACGCACACAAAGACTGCTGTTGACGAGCACCGACGTACGGTGCACCAGCGGCTGATGTGACCAGAACGATGTCCGAACTTCTGTCTCCCCAGTGCTGAGGTTTACACACCGTACACCGTACTAATTGTAAGGGTAAGTCAACCTCGGGGAGGCCCAGGACTAGTTATGGGTTCGATATCTCTCCTCATTGCACTAACTGCTAATATCTTAACCAGTGCTGTCCTCTTCCACCTTCACGCATGCGCACACACCAGCGTGGCGAAGTATGTTCAAACAAGCAACTTAGACCGAAACTGCATGGGGAAGCGTTCATTCAGCAGGGGATAGACGTGGACGCTACTGGACATCTGCGAAAAAGAGCTTCATAGTTCATTGGATTCTTCCTGTCTAAATAAATATTCTGATAAACATTCTAAAGACCCTGATTGGATTCTGAACAGGATGACTATTAAATCCCACCGTACACTCATCCACGCGCCCTCCCGACACAGCCTCACCGCACACCGAACTCTTGCCACACTCGCCGCCCTCGCCACTCGCTCATCGTATGCTAACCTTGCGGCAGAATTGGCAGAGCTCGCCGTTCTCCATGCCGGCGATGATGTACTCCCCGAGCGAACCCCAGATGGCGCTCGTCACCTTCGACTCCTTGCACGGGATCTTCATGAATGGCTCATTGTCGGCTGGGGACGCACGCGGAGCAGGCGGCACGGTTAATACCGGCTGTCTTATTTCTGTAACTTTAACAGGCAAGCTAACCGGCTTCTCCCCATCTCGACGATGCTTAACTCCACGTAACCGTGTTATGGACTAAGCATGCCTGGGAGCTGCGGCTACGTACGTACGTCCTCGCCAGCGGCGCTTGCCCCTCCAATTCGGACAGTTGGCTACATACGGTGCGAAAGAAGTTCAAAATACATACCTCCTCCACGTGGGGGATTTAACAAGTGGCAATGGAAAACTGAGGATATTTGACGCACTGCCCCTCTGCTGACAATCAAGCCCTCGGGGGGGTCAATGAATGGTGGTCACTCATACGAGCAACTATCCAAGCGGAAACCTGCTTAGCTTCCACTATCTGAAAAAAATGAGATAATTCTGAGTGATTTGGCTATCGGTCCGGTCCCCGACAACTGCTGATACATCACCCCCCCCCCCACATCTACCCTCAATGATGCTAAAGCTGGATAAAGCAGTGTATGTATAGTCGCCACTTGATTCAATGGGCTCAGACAAGATACATTCGATTATCAGGCCACTAACGATTCACCCTCAACCCAACCCCCCTCCTACCTGGCCGGATGAAGCAATCAATACCAATTGTTTGCAGTCAGGATTAGATTTAAGAATATTATTTGTGTCTCATATGTACTGCCTTTTGTATTACCTACTTCATAGGTCCTGTCTTGTTCATTTCAATGGGTCTAAAGGCATCATTGATCTATCTTCCTAATCAGCCACAATCACCAAACTGTTGGGTGACAGCATCTCTAACGCTCCTATGATGTAGCATTCAACTGAGGATTTAAATATAATTTGGAGTAAGCATGAAACACTATTTAGATGCACGTATCGTGCGCGCAACAATGGATTTTAATCAACAATTCAACAAAATATGACGGGGCTACTACGGATGACCTCCTTCGCTGTGACCGTGATGGGAGCGCTTCTGGGTGCAGTGGTGATACAAGAGCTCCACCTAGCGACCGGCAGCAAGCTCGCGTCGGTCATCCGAAGGAAGATACTGGACCCTGCCATGCTAAAGTGGAATTTCCAGTGCCGGCACGGGACTGCCAACGGAGAGAAGCTACGCCCCATGCTTGTTTTAGCAGAAGGAGTGTATTGATTCATTAGTTAAAATCTATCCTTATTCTCAGATCACATATCTAATTATTCATGAATGATACAAATTATATGCTCTTACCTGAAGAGAACAAGACAGACTATGACAACATACAACACAGTACCAACAAGACCGTATAAACGAACCAAATTTTTTTTATTGTTGAATTGAACCCTGCCCCTCAATCACGACTCCAAATTGTGAACCCCCCCCAAATCATGACAATTTATTGAATCGCAACGGCATGAATCACTGCACGCTTAATCGCCTGATCCTAGCCGCCGAGACTCAAGACGAAAGGTGTCAAAAACTGCGAGCCGCCGGTCCTCCGACCTCCAGCCTACGACCTCTGCAGTCCCACGCCACTCACTGATCTGGCTGGGGTCCCGCAGGTCGAAGAGGTGGATGAAGCAGTCGTAGCCCATCTGCTTGTCTGTGGTGAACATGACGATGTTTCCGCTGAAGTCGAAGCCGCACGTCCTCACCGCCGACTTGGTCTCGACCAAGCTGATCTGCTTCCCTGCACCGCGGGACGCACGGCAGCATTTCAACAGCTTCATTCGGCAAGCTAAGGAGGGGTCATATCGCTCATAAGCAGGGCGTACTGGCATACGCGCCTGTGAACCAGAGTTTTGGGGACATGGGTGGGTGGATCACGCAGGGATTTGTGAAACTCCCAAATCCACTGGGCTGTGTACAAAGTGGGCAGGAGTCAGCAGCCCAGCAAAAAGAGACTTTAATCTGCATGTCCTGCTAATCTGGGGGCAAGTTGAACTATGGGAGGCCTAGGACTGCTCTCCACACACAGACAAATACACAAAGATCCCCCTGCATAGCCTTAACAGACTGTTGAGGCAAGTGCTGCTAGCGAGCACCCATGAAGGCTGAGACATATACACACTCACTCGCACACATACGCACTCACACACAGACTCAAACACTTGCACGCCCAGATGTGCACACAAGACTCAAATACATCAAGGCACTCGTTGCTCAGCCTTACCCGTATGACAGTCCCACAGGCGACACGTGTTGTCGGCTGCTCCGGTCAGTACGTTCTTCGTGTCCCCTGCATCGTCACCACCAGGTCAAGGGCTACTCTGCTGCAACACAGACTCCTCCGGTGCTTCTCAACACGGCGTCTTCAGATGCGGTCACGCTCAGGCCCCGAATCACCGATGACCAGATCACCCGGAATGCACCCTATCTCGTTACGATCTCAGAAGCTAAAAGCAGGAGTTTGAAGCCTGGACAATGCTTGGGATGGGCGACCATCATGCTATGCTGCCTCCATACACCACAACTTCCTTCCCCGGCCTTCCATGCTGACTACTCCCTGCCCCTGTTTGAGTCCAGGCTCAAGACATTCCTTGCTTTCCTCTGCCTATAACTGTCTGTCTGCAAAATGAAAAAAAACATAATTTCTGAACCAGGTCCAAATATGAGATCACATTTCACGTCCACACAGACGCTTTATAAATCTAAATAATATTGTACAATGTGGCAAAGCATTGTGGAGTAGCATGGCATGTTGTGGCTCGCGGGACACACGGCTGTCGTGAGGATACAGTCCACGTCCACGCACCACACGGCTCCCTGGTGTCCATTGTAGGTGCCCAGGCGCTCGCCATTCACCGAGTACCAGACATTCACAATCTGCTCGCACACAAATGTAAAGACACATACACACACCACACAGGTAAGTTACAATGTGTCTCCATGCTCGAAAGAGCTATGGTGCAATGCTTGTCTGCACTGTTTCTGCACTGGTGGCTCTGATGAAGTGGTGCAGATTCCATTCTCAAGAAGGGAGGCCACACACACTCCCACGCAGGAATAAAAAATAAAACACCCGTGTTTTTGACCTGCCACTCTCCATTGTTTTGAGAGGCACAATGGGAATGCACACAAGCTGTCCAAGTTGGTCCATTAAGGATGCTTCCAATTTTGAAATAACTTGATGGACCAATATTTGCGCACATGCAAGGAAACTCACAAATGCACGGATACATGCACTCGACAACACCGATACACGAGCGCGTTCTAATGCACGTGGGCTATTCACACTGTTAGGCAGCACGCCGAAGTTCGAAAAATGTAATAAAACCTTTTAGCAAGTATTTACATGACAATCACCAAAGGAATTTCAGATTTGAGCACTGGCATTGGTGACCTGTGCAGTGGAGTTTAAATCAATTTGTTTATAGGTTTCATAGTTTTTATTTCGAGTTTTTGTTTTCAAACGGCCGGACGGACAGACACAGGAACAGACAAAATATTTCCTGCAATCAGATCTCTCCTCAAAAACAATGCCAGACCTGGTCCTTGGCAGAGGAGAAGAGCAGGTCTCCCTCTCGGTTGTATTTGATCTGTGTGATGGAACGCTCATGTCCCTGCAGCAGGATGGGTTTCTGCAATGAACCACGTGGAACAGAAAAAGTACAGCCACAGGTCACACAAGGAGTCATGCGCGGGTCGACCACGAGTGAGAACGGGGTCAGGCATTCAGCCAAGTGGAGGGGACACAGTCGTCAGGTTCTCGGCCTTCCCAGCAGATATGTGGTGAGATGTTAACTACCTCGCCTGGTATACAGGTCTTGGGTTCAATCTCGACCCCGACGCCTGCTGTATATTTGGAGTTTGTGTTCTCCGCCATGGTCGCATGGATTTTTCTCCGGGTCCTCCGGTTTTTCCCTCCACATTTAGAAACCTCCGTTTACAGTATTTTGTTGCTGTACATTTTCATGATGATAAGCCACTTCGTTGAGCTACCATTTGTAGCCAGGTTGCTTCTAAAAAAGAGCTACACAGCGCAGTGGGCCTTGCCGGGTAAAATACAAAGTTTTTAGATGCAATCCAAGTTCAGAGGTCCTTATATTAATTCTAGATTTTAAGTTTTCGTGACTGCAAGGGTCCATACTCTGGCTTTTTCGGTAAAGTCACGTAGGTAATACATAAAATAAGAATACATTAAATCACGACGTTTCGGAGGCAACACAAGCTTCCGTCTTTAGGCGGCTCCGTCACAGCACAATTACGAGTTCAAGTGATTTTTACTGTATCAATTACTTATATCCGAAGTGTGCTTGCGTCAGAAATTGTCCGTTTCCTTCCAATCAAATAGTGTCATGCAAGAACGCGTTGCTTATATCAGAAGGGGACTAATACAAGATTTGTTTGTATCGAGCTTATATTGCAATGACGCACATTGGCTATGATTGACAGCGATTTCTCGGCCACGTACAATCGTTGCAAAACTGAATTAACGGTTTTGCAGTGCAACAGCCCAACGAATTAGGCAACCACACTGAACATTTCAACATCGTCCGAATAATAATGTTCAAGCGGGGTGTCATTTTGCAGGTGATTATGTGCCGTTTTAGACTTTTTGGCTTATTTGTCGAACAGGGTCAATTGAATGATACATATAGTATACTCAACCGAATACACACCATCGTCATCCCAGCATGGATGAATGGATTAATGTAAGTTCGTCTGAGCACGTCAAGCCACACGAACAGATTAATTAACATCCATTGCTGTGCAAATTGATTTGACACATTACGCCCAAGTACAAAAAAGCCAATTCGCAATTATGCAAAGTATTACCAACATCTTGAAATCGTCGGAAATCTTGGAACTGCCCAGTATGTAACGTGTAAAATTTTGTTGGCAAAAGTCAGTGACGTTTCTTGACAGTAAATCTATATCTAACCTAAGATTAGAGACTAGGAGCACACTATTTCTCACGCATTATAATTATCAACGTACAAATCAAACATTGATGGTCCAGCAACAGATTCACTCCGGTGACGTCGTCCCGGCGCTTGTGCCAGGCTAGGTGCACTCCGAGGCCCCAGGTATAATATGAGTTAACTACCCGAGATGACTGACCCGTCACCTGTGCTTCCTGCTAGTCACTCGCTCACCGACGATCAGTCCCCGCCTCCGTACCACTCTTCTTTCGCTACTACCGTACAATGGTTAATGTCAACGTACTGTGAATGTTGAACTTCTTTCGCACCGTACGTAGCCAATCGGTTGGCGACGTATCGACTCCTATCAATCGGTTTCGTCTCATCCATCGCACCGACCGACTTTGGAAATTCCCTCACCACTGTCTCTTAACCCCCAAAGTTACAATACTAACAATCATCTCGGCTCAACTCAAGAACCGCGCCTGGCACTGGGCTAAGGCGTCTTACACAGTCCAGCGCGGTGTGCTGTGCGGCCTCTCCCCTTCGGCGAGCGCGACTTACGAACAAAAAGACATTGACAGCAACAACAACAACAACTTCTCCCAAGTCTACAGAAGACGGTAACGATTCGCCTTCGAGACTCGAGGGGTGGTGGAGGAAGAGGAGGAGGAGGGGAGCCGGCGAAACAGAACCGGGGCAGTCAAATCCGCGGGGCCTTCTCACGTGCGGAGCCGCAAGAAACCTAAGAATCGCGCGCACGCAGCGCGGCTCCCACACCCAACGCGCCCGTCTCTCTCCCCCCCATCCCCCACCCCCCCGTACCATGGCGAGGCGCTGGGTGATCTCGGCTCCAGACGGGCCGAGGCGGTGGCGGCGGCGGAAGGTGCGGGCTCGGGGATATTTCAGCGACCGGCTGGCTACGTTCACGGGCCGCTGCGACGCGCTCGGCTGCCCTCGGCCTTGTTCGAAGAGAGACGGACGTGACGACAGAGCGCGCACAAAAGTGGGGGCCGGTGGAGCACATGACGTCACGCGCAAGAGACGGATGTGATGACGTCACGCGCAAGAGATGGCGGTGATGACGTCACGCTCAAGGGCGGCGGTGATGAGGTCATACTCAAGAGCCGGCTATGATGACGTCACGCTCAAGGGCGGCGGTGATGAGGTCACGTTCAAGAGCGGCGATGATGAGGTCACGTTCAAGAGCGGTGGTGAGACGTCACGATTAAGAGCGGTGGTGATGACGTCACGGTTAAGAACGGTGGTGATGACGTCACGGTTAAGAACGGTGGTGATGACATCACGCCAAGAGCGGTGGTGATGAGGTCGCGAACAAGAGCTGTGGTGATGACGTCACGCTGAATCGCAAGAGCAGCGGTGATGACATCACGCTCAAGAACGGCGACGATGACGTCACACTGAGATGCGGGAACCTTGGTCGGGTATGTAGATAGCTCCGTTACGTCATCGCCACCGTGACAAGCGATTACGTCAGTGCGTACTTGCGTGTATGGATGTAGAACTTCTTTCGCACCGTACGTAGCCAATCGTGCTGATCGGAGGTGGGGGGGGGGACAGCAAACTAAACGCACACAAAAAGCACTTTTAAAAAAATGGGTTCGTCAATCCTGGTGATTTAAAAGTGCAAAACTCCCAGTGGCTTCCTGAATATGGTGAGGAAGAGCGTTCCAGACGGCCGTGGCTGAGACAAAAGCCTCCGCCGCTGCTGCTCGCGAGGATGATGCCCGGGGTGCGTGCGTAAGGCACTGGGGATGGAAACGATGACCACCGACAAAGAAAGTCAAATAAGGACCTCGTCTTTATATAAATCGCGGTTGCTGAGCACAAGGCACCAACAGGAGCGAAACGTGAAGCGGCCAGAAACAAACAGCACGATTACAACTGCACATTACTCAGTGATGCTGCTGCTGCGTTGACAGTGGTGCACTGGCACAATTTACAACAAGCAGAAACTCAACACGTTGTCCACAGCAGAGAACGAAGGGCCATTGTCCGAAACGTCGCCTATTTAATTTTTTTAGGCGGGTTCTCTTCTATTCTGGCGCCCCGTGGTACCCCAACGCGTTCCCGAGTAGAATGCCAATGTCGATGTCTGCCAGCCACGAGAGGGCTCCAGGAGAACGGACTTCGTGTCGTGAAGCCTCCTCCTATTCCTCTGCCTCCTCCTCTGCCTCCTCCTATTCCTCCTCCTCCTATTCCTCCTCTTCCTTCCTCCTATTCCTCGGCCTCCTCCTATTCCTTCTATTCCTCTGCCTCATATTCCTCCTCCTATTCCTCCTCCTATTCCTCTGCCTCCTCCTATTCCTTCTATTCCTCTGCCTCATATTCCTCCTCCTATTCCTCGGCCTCCTCCTCCTCTGTTGAAGGGGCACAGAACCACCGCAGTGGTTTAACTGCATGGTCCCATAGTTTTGACTGCATGGCCACAATTGCACTACCGTGGCTGGGCTTTTCAAGGCAATTGCTGACGAAATATGGTGCATTGGTATACTCCACTTCAAAATCTCTATTTATACTGGAGGAATCAGATGAGCCACAAAGCGCTTTATCACAGAGGTCGTAAATATAATTTTAATCGGATTAAAACGTTTTATAATGTCCAGAAATCTTGTTAATTGAGATCGGCTGTCATCACACACGGGGCACGGGAGTGGACGAGGAGGACCTGAACAATCAACACGCAGGAGGCGTTCGCCAGCAATATTATCCATAATACAGGTTTATGTTTTCGTGGTGGTAGATCGCGTAAATATAAATGTGTCGTCAAACCCGCCACCACCACCGCCGCCGCCGACTCTGCCAACATTTGACAGAAACATGCCCCACAGCGTTCGCAATCTTCTCCGTGTTCTAATCCAAGGCCGTAGCCATGAAATTAACATTGGTGGGGACCAAATCTTTCAGGGGGTCTGGGGGTCCCCCTCCCAGAAAAAAAAATCTAAATTTGAAAACGAATTTCCTGCCTAAAATATTAAAAAAATTCACTAACACATAGGATAGACTTTTTATTTATGTTTTAACAATAATGTCTAATAGTGTATTGTATTACATTGCTCTCTTTTTTCTTTTTCACCTTTTCTTGTTTCACTGTATGCAATGGCAGAGATTAGGGATTTATAAAGTACAACCATAACCACAATCATATAAACAGAAATATTTTTATACCAATATATTGGGTGGGGGGGAGGGGGACATTCTGAGCATATTTGAATATTGGGTGGGGATGTGCCCCCAATATATAATATTACAATTAGCGCCTGCTCTTCACCTGAGGATGGCTGCTTGCGTTGTGGCCGAAACGCCGTGAGAATTATTTTATCACGTTTTATTTTTATTATTTTATTATTTCCCTTCTACGTGGCTTTACCGAAAGAACCAAGAAGATGAATCCCTGCAGTCACGAAAGCTTTAAATCGAAAAATTAGCGTCTTGTTATAATCCATCGCTATGTGAACAATGCACCTCTCCACGTGGTCTCACACACAGAGGGAGGGTGGGGGGCGTGGCCACGAGGCCGGCTGAGCGTCGTGGGGGTGGGAGGAGGAGTTAAAGGGCGGAATGGCAGCAGGGTGAGCGCAGACCGGAATGAGACGTGCGTCGACTGAGCACTCATGCCTGCGAAAGGTGAGGATTTGAACGTCGGCGGTGGGGTTGTTGTTGCGGGGGGGGGGGGGGGTGTTAAAGCCCCCAGTCGAAAATGTTACACCACGTGTACTGTCGTGTGTGTTGTGTGGTTAGCGCTACGAAACCGACGGTCACCCGGGTTCGATTCCCACCCCCTCGTGTGCCGTGCCGGCCTTCATAGGTGCTCGCTAACAGCACTTGCCCCAACAGACTGGTAAGGCTATACGGGAGATCATCTCTGTATAGCTATATGTATATATCTATATGTATACAGTGTATCTATATGTATATAGTGTATCTATATAGATGTAGGAGAGCGGTATTCGCAGTGGTTAGCGCCGTCTCGTAGGCGACACCGCGTGCGTCTTCTTTTGTGTCTGTGTATGTCTGTGTGTGTGTGTCTGTGTGTGTGTGTCTGTTTGTGTGTCTATGTGTGTCTGTGTGTGTGTCTGTTTGTGTGTCTATGTGTGTCTGTGTGTGTGTCTGTTTGTGTGTCTATGTGTGTCTGTGTGTCTCTATGTGTGTCTGTCTGTATGTCGATGTGTGTGTGTGTATGTGTCTGTGTGTCTGTATGTGTGTGTGTATGTGTCTGTGTGTCTCTATGTGTGTGTCTGTATGTGTCTGTGTATGTATGTGTGGGGAGCGGTAGTGTAGCGGTTAGCGCGCTGCGCTATGAACCTGGCGACTCGGGTTCGATTCCCGCTCACGGCTAACACCAGTGACGATTATCTGAACCGGTCCTGGGCCTCCCCTAGGTCGACTCAGCCTTAAATGAGTACCTGGTGCGGTGCGTAAACATCGCCACTGGGGAGACAAAGGCGGTCGGGCGTGGTGCTGGCCACCCACCCCCTCGTGTACCGTTCCGGCCTTCATAGGTGCTCGCTAACAGCACTTGCCCCTACAGTCTGTTACAGGCTATACGGGGGATCTTTGTCTTTGTGTATGTATGTGTCTTGCGTATGTGTTTGCGTGTCTCTGTGTGTCTTTATGTGTCTCTATGTGTGTGTCTGTGTGTGTCTGTGTATGTCTCTGTCTCTATGTGTATGTCTGTGTGTCTCTATGTGTGTGTCTGTATGTCTCTGTCTCTATGTGTGTGTCTGTGTATCTCTACGTGTGTCTGTGCGCCTCTGTCTCTATGTGTGTGTCTGTCTGTGTATGTGTCTGTGTGTGGCTTGTGTCTGTGTCTGTGTCTCTGTGTATGTCTCTGTGTATGTCTCTGTGTGTCTGTGTGTCTCTGTGTGTGTGTCTGTGTGTCTCTATGTGTGTGTGTGTCTGTGTGTCTCTATGTGTGTGTGTGTCTGTGTGTCTCTATGTGTCTGTGTGTCTCTATGTGTATGTGTGTGTCTGTGTGTCTCTATGTGTGTGTGTGTGTCTGTGTGTCTCTATGTGTGTGTGTGTGTGTCTGTGTGTGTGTATGTGTGTGTCATTGTGTCTGTGTGTCTCTATGTTTGTGTCTGTGTATGTATGTGTGTATGTGTCTCTGTGTGTGTGCAGCGATTAGCGCGTTGTGCTGCGAACCCGGCGTTCCCGAGTTCGATTCCCGCTCACGACCAACACCAGTGACGATTATCTGAACCGGTCCTGGGCCTCCCCTAGGTCGACTCAGCCTGAAATGAGTTTCTGGTGCGGTGTGTAAAAACATCGTCTCTAGGGAGACAAATCTCGGCCGGGCGTCGTGCTGGCCACCCATCCCATCGTGTAACATTCCAATCTTCAAAGGTGCTCGTTCACAGCACTTGCCCCATCGTTCTGTTAAGGCTATACCGGGGATATTTGTTGTTGTCTTTGTATATAGCCCGTCGTAAATCTACTGGTGGATGAGAGCCCTGCTCCCCCACACTGTGTGTGTGTATGTGGCTCTGTAGGGTTTTTGTTGACCATACTTCACCACGCTGGTCCAGAGCGAGGTTGGGTGAAGGCGGGTTTTTGCGAAGACTCTGCTCGCAGCGAAGTAGAGAGCAACATTTGTATTTAGCTGCACCACTGCATCTGCTGGGAATGTAGCCTGGCATCGTCCCACTACGACCATTCTATTCTTGAGTGCGTGGCAGGCAGGTAGAATGTTCAGGAATTAAATTTCGCCCAATGTCAGCCACGACGAGAGAGGGCTTCGGGGAGAACCAGAGGTCGCAACCGGGTACCCGATACCCGTACCCTACCCGATACCCGGCTACCCGTACCCGGCCGGGTATGGGTACGGGTAGCCGTTTGCGACCCTGGTGCGGCCGGGTACGGGTAAGGAATCAAAACCCGTTTGCGACCTCTGGGGAGAAGGGAGTTCGGTGTCGTTTTGCTACTGCTCCACCACCACCATTCAAGGAGCGCGAGACTCATTCGGTTTTTTCTGATGACCCAGTTTCTAAATTGGCATATGAATAGTTTAAACGGCCATATGAATCGTAGCTATTTGGGCACATAGACAAACAAACCCGTTACTACAAAAAAAACATTCAATTACTAAATCAAGTTATTTATATTAGAAGAAAATTTATATGAAAAATATTTATCCAAAGCTGTTTACTCTGGGCTGTTAGATAACACTGTTGTGCAATGATGATCGTTAATCGGAGCTCGACTACCGAAGCTTGCCGAGATGGAATGAGACCGGACGCATTAACGGGTGATTTTGTCTTCGGCGACCGCTACGATTGCTGAAGTTACAGGAATTGTGTTCGAAAAATGTCACACCGTGGCCTTAAAAGGACATTTTTTTAATGCGCGACGTTTCGGGAAAGGGCCCTTCTTAAGCACAAGAGAGCCCATCGGTTAAGACGCTGGATTAAACGAGTTGGAGACGAGCAGTTTGACCACCAGAGGGCCTGATTCCGATTAAATGACAAATGTTTCTTGACGAACCTTTTTTAAAAATTTCATATGAACGGTCAAATATAGATGTAGTCATACAATTTTGATTATTAAAGGCTTTGTTAAAGTGCAGTCTCCCAACGTGTATCTACTCTATTTCTTACGTGCCTCAACTTTATACGGAGAACCACAGGATTGCCCAAAACATCAACCATTATATGTTTCCTTGTAAAATGTTTCAGTTTGGTGTTCTCACATCTTAACACCTGTTTTGTTGCCAGAAAAAAGGGGAAAACATTATCATATTTTGGTACTGGCAAAGGAGGTCCCATGATGTAGCTGCTCACCCCGAGCTCTCATTACTCTGATAGTGGCATCGTATTTGGGCTGTACGCATTTTGGCGTCCTCTGGTCTAACAGCGTTTTGAGACTATTCTTTAAAGAAAGCTGTCTCTGGTGTGGACCAATCAGTTTCAAAGACAATGCATTTATTATCAGAGTATGTTTTTTGTTTGCATTCTGACCACAAGTATTGTGGTTAATGTAGACATGATTCCTTATAAAAGGCTTCAGTTTGGTGTTCTAACATCTTAACACCTGTTTTGTTGCCAGAAAAAAGGGGAAAACGTATTCTCATATTTTGGTACTGGCAAAGGAGGTCCCATGATATTATATATGTTATTCCCTTTTAAGGCGACAGTATTATTGACGAATGTGAGTTTTTATTTAACATATCTGCCCCAATGCCAACGCAGCATCGCCAAATCGTTATCGAGATTAAGTGTGTTCTGTCAGATCTGTTTCACTCAGACCTCGCAACGCCTGTACTATTTACAACTAGCGGTTGAAATATTTTCTAAGTACAGCAATTTATGGATTTTACAAGTAACAGTAATTTCCTGAGCCGTGCCTTTAAGATGTGTTGCGCATTTAATATGCCGCTTATTACCCAATGACGCGCCCCCCCCCAATAACCCACCTTCCGATAGCACGGTTGGCTATGTACGGCGCGAAAGAAGTTTAACATACATACATGACCAGCGTGGTGAAGTATGTTCAAATAACGCGCACAGGTGTGGGGGAGGCCCCTCATCCTGCACTGTTATTGCATATGGCAATACGTTCAGGAGCTAAATTCTCAATTGTCCGGGTCTACTAGCCACGAAGGGGCTCCTGACAGCTACAGAAGGACCGTCTGTATTTTGTATAAACATTTTATGCCCCAGGCGTGGAAAGCCACCGTTGCTAGGTGGTTGCCAATGGAATGAATATCCCCTGCCATGGGAAAGTGGGATTTCTACCACTGGTACTGTGGCAGAGCGCTGTAATAAAAACAAAAATGAGAAATATTGGCAGTAAAAATTTGTTATCTTATGATTTGTATTTATAGAGCGTCTTTGCTCAAGGTGCTTGACATGGTTTACAAAACAACATCATAAAATAATTATTTAGATGGCAAGGGTGTGCCACGGTTGAGGAATTGTTGACCGCGATAGAGGGTACTTGGGGGACATGAACGGGTAGGGGAGGGACGAGAAGAACTGGAGCGGCGAGGGAAGAGAAAGGGAATGTGCAATAGAGAAGAGGTGAGGATTTAAGAGAGGAACAGAAAAAGGTTAAGCAGGGGAAAAGAGAGGCAACCTAATGTAGGGGCAAGGCCATGGAGAGACTTGAAGGCTACCGTCAGGTTTTTTTTAAACAAGACAGTGGTCGTATTTATAGGCTCGTTGAGCTCATAATCCCACCAGAGTCTATAAAATTGGTACCAACTCTGGGGAAGTCTGGTCATGTCATGAAAATGTAGAATTTTCGTGTCCAGCTCAGAGCTACGGAGGGAAACTCATCGTGAAGTCAGGCAGGGATGTCGGCACAGGGATTACAGTCATGATCTGGTTACAAGTTGTAATCCCAAGCAAAGTGAACTTGGGCATTATTATTATCATCATCATCATCTCTATAATGATTACGGTCATGATTGTAACAATGATGATTATGGTAGTCATTATGTAAATGATACATTTTTATTGAGATGACCTTATCGATAATGGGCATTACAGGGATGAGTCGTGTATGGCCCTTTGGCAATTGATCGCTGGATGAAGGCCTGCCCACACTTTGTTGTTCATAAGGAGTTGTTTGTCCATACTTCACAATTCTGTTCCGCGCAGGTCGGTGAAGGGGGATGGAGAGCCATG